CTTTAGCGTTTACAGCGTGGTTTTTTCTCCGCGCTGTTGTCGCGCTGTGATGACGTCAGCTACGCGGTTTCATCAAGCGCGCTTTAGTCGAACGCAGTTTTGTGGTGGAACTGAACCAAAGAAGTGGACCCCTGGTCATAAGGCCCCCACAACTTCTGACAGCAAGCTGTTCCACTGGTTAAATATTCTCACTTTTAGGAAGTTTCTCCTTAATTCCAGATTGCTTCTCTCCTTGATTCATTTCCAGCCATTGTTTTTTCTTTTGCCTTCTGGTGCTTTGGGAAATAAGTTGACCCCCTCCTCTTTGTGGCAGCCTCTCAAATACTGGAACACGGCTATCATGCCACGCCCTAATCGTTCTTTTCTCTAGACTAGCTAAACCCATCGTTCTTCATGTTTTAGTCTCTGGGGCCTTAATCACCTTAGTTGTTCTCCTTTGAACTTTTTCCAAAAGTCTCAACATATTTTTAGTAAACCTGGAGACCAAGACTGGATGCAGTATTCCAGGTGTGGCTTTACTAAGGGTTTATAAAACGGTAATAACACTTCACATGATTTTTTATCCTATGCCTCTGTTTATACAATCAAGGATTGTATTAGCTTTTTTGGCTGCTGCCACACACTGCTGGCTCATATTTAAGCGATCATCCACTAGGACTCCAAGGTCCCTCTACCAGGTACTGGCCCAAGAAGAGAATTTGGAGAGACAAGGAGGCTGAATCCATTTTCTTTGTCCTTTCAGAGGCTGGTGTCGTTTAAAGATGTGGCTGTGTATTTCACCGAGGGCCAGGGGGCTCTCCTGGATCCCGCCCAGAGAGCTTTATATAAAGAAGTCATGGTGGAGAATTATGAAAATATGGCCTCCTTAGGTATGAGCAGTGGTAGGATTCCATTTTTTTTACTACTGGTTCTGTGGGGGTGGCTTGGTGGGGGTGGCATGGTTTGGTGGGCGTGGCAGGGGGAGGATACTGTAAAATCTCCATTCCCTCCCCACTCCTGAGAGAAGGATACTGAAAAGTCCCCATTCCCACTACAGTAGGATACTGTAAAATCTCCATTCCTTCCCCACTACAGGGGAAGGATACTGCAAAATCCCCATTCCCTCCCCACTTCTGGGGGAAGGATACTGCAAAATCCCCATTCCCTC